AACATGAATCTTTATTAGGAAAGACGTAAATAGAAGCTAGTCCAAAAGAGCGATAAGCGTGTAACAGCAAAAAAAGATTTGCACGCTATCGTTTACTGGCCAAAAGTACAATGATGTCACCGAAAATGTCACATGAGTGCAAAAAAGTACCGCTGCTCTTGGGGAAGTTAACTTGGTCATAAAAGTCCCTCGCGATAGAAGTTAACTTGGTCCATCATACATGACCGACTTATCGAGTTTGCCTGTGTATTTGGTCAACTTTCAAATTTTATTTTGTAATTAATAAACATTACAAATAATTTGTACTATATCTATAAAATTTTGGAAACAAAACTATCGTCTTTTTCAATTCCTCACACAACATAGAATACCCGGACATGCAAAGTGACAACGAATCTCACGTTGCATCATGTTGTGAAGAAGTAATTCAACACCGTTCTGATTATGAACGAACTTCCGGTCCCAAGCGTAAGAATGTTTTTGACGAATATCTTATTCCCAAGAAGTACTGTAACAAGCGTGCTGTCGCTGCTATTAGAGACTATATCGCGTTTAAGGGGTGTAGTTAACAACAGTGTCACTAAAGCGCAACACTGTTTTCTTCGTACGCAAGGAAGCGGTACGAATTTATAAACTTTGATCAGCCCTGTTACCTCAGAGGCGTTGTGCTGTATGATAGGCTTTGCCTCGTTGGTAATTTGTGATGCGCCCGTGATTTGTTGAAAAAGCGGATCTAATGGACGAGCGAAATATTTGTCTATGCTGTCATCCCAATAAGGATTATCGTCATCGTCATCTATCAAACAAATAGGTCGGATGGCAAGAATATACATTAGACATCTCATCATTACCACGAGGCTGGCCAAATTTACGTTGCCTTCACAATTGGACAACACATTAGGCCGATATTGGCAGCACAACAGTGCGAATCCGCAAAGCTTTGCCTAAAAGATTAGAAAACGGTTTGTATAAACGATGGTTGTCTTTCAAGTCAATATATATATTTTACACTCTCAAAAAGTCGCGGTGAGCGGTAAGCCGTTGCAAATATAAAAAAAAAGCTTATGCACTGGACAAAATAAAACGGAAAACTTACAATGTAATCACCCCAACAAATTGCGAGAACGAGGAGGCATGGACTACCGGAAAAGTAAGGGTATCGTCGAGACTACGGTTTATGACGTGTGTCTCAACAATTCTGAAAGAATGCAAGAGATAATTCAATAGTAAATAGTCTTGTTCCAACTTGTAGTAAATAATTCTGATGACTAACGTTTTTTTTTTTTCAGGTTGTCGCTAATTTTGTAATTGCGTGCGGTTTCTCTTGACAGGAAGCACATTTTTAAAGTCTTGGTAATGTTTGACTTGAATTTGTCTTGGTTATTACAAAGGCATTATATATAGGTTTCAGCACAAGCACCAGTGTTTATGTCCGGTGTTATTATGACGTTTTATGATTATGATGTCATATGACGTTCCTATGACGTTTATACGTACCATTTGAGTCAGATATCGCCAATAGATAATGTTCAATTTTAGCATCAGCATATCTACTGCCTTGTGTTTGCAAATTCATTCAAATATGTCCTCTATTGCTTTAGTAATAGGATAGTGGGCTTTTTAGGTACACAACCGGTGTCAATTTGGTTAAATTTAGTCTATTTTCTATAGATTTCAAGTTTTTATCTTATTCTCGATAACTTTTTTTAAGGTATACATAAATCGATTTTCTTAACCAAAAATACACCAATTTAACCAAATATATGATATCTTATTTG